AAGATGATGAGAATCTGACTCAAAGCACCACAATTCAGAAAATTGAGGTGGTAAAAGAAGCTTGTCTTGAATTCTTCTAGTATCCTTTTCCATTTCTTTCTCCTTCTCGCTTTTAATATATTTCTAAGATTCATGTTTGAAAAGAAAAACTTAAAAATATGCATAGAATTGTGCCTTGGTGACTGGTTCCTAAAATTGCCTCCAGAAAAAGGTATTGTATACTCTCCATTTTGAAACTTTTCTAAGCATTTTACTACATCAATATTTTTTTTTCCTGTGTAACCTTTGTTGCCATAACTCTTGTCCCAGTTTTTTCCTGCTGTTTGCCAAACAATGAAGCTCCCAAATTCATTGGGAGCTCTGCTGCTGTCTGAGGTAGCCCCAAGGCTTGTCCCTATGCAAGTGATGAATTATGCAATATTTAATTGTTCCAAGTGCTTCCCAAAATCTGACTTGCTTCATTTCACACAACGGGAAGATGTCTACTGAGTCGTGGCTTACCAAATGAAGCATATGCACAAAGCTTTACAGGGGTGATTTGGACTACTTGTTTCATGTTATTTTTCAGGTGCTTATGTTCTATGTAAATTTATGTGCTATGTAAACACGTAAAATACAGTATTTGTTATATTTTGAGTGAAAACAGTAGAAAGCATGTATTTTCTTATCTAAATCCTACGTGATTATTGTATGTATTGTCATAAAAAAAAAGGGAACCAAATGAATTCTAACAGGGCAGAAATACCCAGAAGCAAAGTAGTATTTTTTGCTGTGAGAATATATTTAGATTTACACCTTAGACCACAAAGTTTTTTCTTGCAATCACAAAAAAGTTGGCACTGGTGATAACAGGAGGAGATGCAAGTCTGCGAAATTCCAGGAATTAAATAATCTCAAGGGCAAATGTTCATGAGGCCAGTACATAGATAAGAGGTCAAGAACTACCTCCTATTTTTATGCAATTCTGCTCTTCAGAGTGAGTGCACCAACTCCTCAGCCAAATCTGTTAAAATTGAGAACTCTATTTGAGCTTTTTTTTTTTAGAAATGTTTCTGTTTAAGCTGATAATACTTAATCCTCTGCAGTAAAAGTTCTAAGCTTTAGTCTACTACTATAATTGTCATGTACTTTTAGCAGCCCTTTACAGACAGTAAATGTGACTTACGAGAAAGTGAAAGGCTTGCAAAATAAATGTCTTCAATGTTATTCTTTTGCAGAACAAACTGGATCAAAGAGTACTTGGACACTGCTCCATATCTGATCCTCATTTTCAAGCAGGTATATGGACAACTCCCAAATGGCAAAAAGAAGACCCACTACTACAATGAAATCAGCGTCTCTATTGCCTGTGGTATCCTGCTTGCTGCGCTGCAGGTACATTGGCAGAACTGACATACTGAGAGTCAATGTATTGCAATGTGCGCTGGCAGCCCAGAAAGCACATCCTGGGCTGCATCGAAAGAAGCGTGGTCAGCAGGTCAAGGGAGGTGATTCTCCCCCTCTGTTTTACTGTCGTGAGACCCCACCTGGAGTACTGCATTCAGCTCTAGAGTCCCCAGCCCAAGAAGGACATGGACTTATGGGAGTGGGTCCAAAGCAGGGCCATGAAGACAATCAGAGGGTTGGAGCACCTCTCCTATGAAGACAGGCTGAGACAGTTGGGGTTGTTCAACCTGGAGAAGAGAAAGCTCCAAGGAGACACCTTCTAGCAGCCTTCCAGTACCTAAAGGGGATCTACAAGAAAGCTGGAGAGGGACTTTTTACAAGGGCATGTAGTGATGAGACAGGGGGCAATGGCTTTAAACTGAAAGAGAGTAGATTTAGATTAGCTATAAGGAAGAAATTCTTCCCTCTGAGGGTGGTGAGGCACTGGAACAGATTGTCCAGAGGAGTTGTAGATGTCCCGTTCCTGAAGGTGTTCAAGGCCAGGTTGGACGAGGCCAAAATGAGAGTGGAATCCAATTTAGTTTTTAACGTTATTAGTCTTCTATATCACTCCAATTCCTGGCAATATGTATTAGTTTTGAGTTTTAAAGTCAATCTGCACAGACCTGCATCTGAGAAGGTTATGCCTACCCTCAGTACTGGTTAACAAGAAGAAAAATGTAATGCAGCTTACTTCTAGAGTTGTCACTCTTCTCCCGGCATGGACTTCAGCCCCTGTGGTTTCTGCCTTATGCTAAAAGGGCTGACAGGGTCTGCAGGTTACCTGAGCATGGCTGTACAGTGCCACACTGGCCCCTTCTTTTCAGTAATCCCTAAAAAAATGGCTTGACCCCAAATCATTTTTAGTACACAATGCTGGAAAATAAATCGAGGACATATTTCACAGAACAAGCTGTACTATTTCAATCAGTCTTTCTGAGACATTTCTGAAAGTGAACCGATTTCTAAAGCTCAGCATGTTTGACACCAGGCGGTTGGGTTTTCTCGGTGGTTTCTCAGAGCTCAGTTCTGCTTGTTCTATCTGATGTACTCACACAAGTGTTTAAATAGTGAAGCTATTCTGATCGCTAACTTGGCCTGTCAGCAGGATAACAGCCTTATATTAGGCCAATTTCCTACCAGAAACTGCCAGTTCTCCTCTGTTCTGGTTTGAGTGACGCTTCCCTGCCCGCATTGCTACTCCTCAGGAGGATCTTCAGGATGGGAAATCAGAGAAGTGAGCAGTGCGGATGCACATTACTGGAGTGTTGCTGCTCTGCAGCTGCACAGGGCTCTGTATTTTCCCTCCATTGAGCTGGGGACAAAGAGGATACACAGGGAATGGGGCAGAACCAGCACTGTGTCACTAGTGCCTTAGTCAAAAGCAATAGAAATGACAAGGCTCCACTTCTTCCTGTGACAGCCCACCATCAGGTGGGATTTCTGAGGCTTCCTACCAAGTGTTAGGCTCCTTAGTGCTGTCTCTTTCCTAGCTTTTAGGAATTAATTGACAACGTTAAAGGACACAGTGCCATGGATTCGTAACATTCAGCACCACCGCTATTAGCTCTTCTTCTCTTCAGAAGATCTTAGAGGTTGCTTAACATGAGAGGCCCATTGCCTGAGCACCTCTCCTTGGCTGCCTTTTATATCTCAAAGCTTCCCAAAATGCTTGCATTACATAGAAGGAGAGACTGAAATCCAAACGTGCAACTCTCAGGGAGCACCTCATCTGTGCGGTCATATCTTGGATAATGTCAACGCTTTACTATTTGTCAGACTGTTTAGCTTTTTTGTGAGATTTCATATGAGAGGAGGAGTGATGCATAGAGTTATTTTGGGGTTCAGATGTAAGCAGAACACTGGCCAGCGAGAGACGGTAACAGACTCCTGCGACAACTTCTGAGGCAGAGCTTGTGCCCCCTGTCCCCATAAGGTACAGCTCTTGAGCAGGAACAAATGGTCACAAAGCTGTAAGATGTCCTCCTGACAGCAGTATGAGGGCAAGAACCGAAACATTTCTCTGTATGAGGCAGATGAACCCCTTGGCATGAAATTCCAGGGATATCACCACAACTGCCTCTCAACTTCACTGTGGCTGTGAGTCCCCCATTACCCTAGACACAGCAGGCAGGCTCCTGCTGTACAGCATACAGACATGTGAGGTAGAATGTGCTGTCACTGCAGTGGAGAAATGCTGTGCTTTTCTGTGAGCAAAACAGGAATCTCTTACGATACCATTGAGGCTATTAGTAAATCAGATGTTCTAAAGCCTGCAGCAGAGTCTAATGAAGCAGCAATTCTGGGCTAGTCAATACAAGAATGTGTACAGGTCTGGTGGGAATAACGGATACAAATACAGAGCACAGATGTCTCTCTCTACTCTGTTGCTGTCTGTCTTGTTGCAGAACGCGGGTCTGTACACTGTGACCTCCACACCCCTCAACTGCGGCCCCCAACTCCGGGTGCTACTCCAGCGCCCAGCAAATGAGAAGCTACTCTTGCTGCTCCCCGTTGGCTATCCCAAGAAAGATGCTACTGTGCCCACGCTGACCCGAAAGCCACTGGAAGACATCATGGTGGTCATGTGAGCCCAACGCCACAAGGAAGGAGAGCACCCCTCTCGCCAGCTCGTAAGCAGCAGCCGCTGAAGTTGTCCCTGCTGTTTCTGTGTATTGTCCTCCTACGTCACTGCTGCTCTGGCTGTCTACACCTGTATTGCTTTTAGTGCTAGTAATCATGGTGGATGCTTCTACTAGTAGCAGCAGGTAGTCAAGCACCATGCGTTTGACAGGCGCTACTACCAAAGAGCCTGGGCAGTTGTTCCAGGGGACACTTACAATGGCATTTAAATGACCTACATCACTCGATTTTTTATTTTTTTTTCCTTAGATATTGTAGGGACAAATCTTTCCTTGAACTGGAATGTGTATTCTCCTCATACTTTTGTGATTACCACTGCGCAGTTATTTTTACTTCAGAATTTTAATGGAGGTTGTATTAAAAGATATAAAGAGGTCAAACTCCACTGTCTTATCTTGATCAGTGTGTGCTATTTAAATGCCCCTTCCCCTTCACTGTATTGAGTTCTGTGTAGGAGAAATATTTTTCTCATCTACAATGGCATTTTCCCTACTTGATTGATCTCAAACCCCTTGTCCATACGAGGCTTTCTTAAACTGTTTCTGGTACAAATGTCTTCGGCTGGGGGAGGCCTTCCCACAAAAACAACTCTCCCTACTAAAAGCCTTGTCTACAAGCAAGGTGTGAAGCGACACCAGTGGGAGCTGCTCCCTGGCAGGGTGTGCTCCCCCTGTGCTCCTGATCGCTGCGCTGGTAGAGCCCCCTGGTGGGGTTGCGGTTCCTGCCGGCTTTGGGAACAGTACAGGATGAAAACACTGAGAGATGTCCTCCCTCGAAGCTGTCCGTATTCTGTGAAATACTTTCCCACCTTGCTCTCTGCTGCGTGTAACTTCAGGCAAATTCAGCCAAATGGGTGTCAGCCTTCCTTGCATGCTGCTCACGTTAACTCGCTGCACTTTGTCTAAGGTCGGTCTTATTTAACATGACCTGCTGTCAGCTGAGAAAGTAGAGGGGATAATATTTTGCAGAGGTACAGCTTTTTGTGCTGTCAACACTTCTCTGTCATCCAATGAGAAAAAATATTTTTCTCTTTGGCAGACCATTTTGCTGGTATTTAGCAGGCATGGCTATATGTTCACCTGTTTTGCTAGCCCCGCTTCACATTCTCAGGGGTACAGCAATGGCAGGAAGAGTTTCTTATGCAGACCTAATCTGAAATGAGCTTTTATAACTACGGCAAAATAAAAAGAAATCTTGTGTCTATACGCTTGCAAGGTCTGAAATCTAGTCAAGGAGAGAGAGCTGGACCAAGTCAAGGCCAGATGGCTACAGTTACCAGGACCATATGTTAAAATGGCTGTAGCAAGGTTTCCTTCCATACAGATGCTGCTCTGACATATCAGGCTCCTTCGCAAAGCAATTTGTATCTGCTGTAAATGTATATAAGACCTATTTCTCTTGTTTTAATTCAGAGTTCACATCAATAGAGGGCTGAACCTCTGCTGCTTTGTGGTCTTTGCTATAGCTACAGAAATAAACTGCTTTTTCTTGGCCTCGGTCTGCAAAATAGACAGCATGTTTATTCTATGACAGCACTTAGAGAAGTTTTACCGAATGAATTTAGTTTACATCAGCATGAACTGGGGTATTGTGTTGGTTTTGGCTGGGATAGGGTTAATTTTCTTTACAGTAGCTAGTATGGGGCTATGTTTTGGATTTGTGCAGGGAACAGTGTTCATCATACAGGAATGTTCTCGTTATTGCCGAGCAGTGCTTACACAGAGTCAAGGCTTTTTCTGCTCCTCACACCACCCCACCAGTGAGTAGGCTGAGGCCGCATAAGAAGTTGGGAGGGGGACAGTGGGGACAGCTAACCCCAACTGACCAAAGGGATATTCCATACCATATGACATCATGCTCAGCATATAAAGCTGGGGAAGAAGAAGGAAGGGGAGGACATTCAGAGAAATGGCATTTGTCTTCCCATGCAACTGTTACATGTGATGGAGCCCTGCTTTCCTAGAGATGGCTGAACACCTGCCTGCCAATGGGAAGTAGTGAAGGAATTCCTTGTTTTGCTTTGCTTGCATGCGCAGCTTTTGCTTTACCTATTAAACTGTTTTTATCTCAACCTTATGAGTTTTCTCATTTTTACTCTTCTGATTCTCTCTGCCATCCCACTGCGGGGGAGTGATCGAGCGGCTGGGTGGTGGCCAGTTGCTGGCTGGAGTTAGATCACAACAAATACATAATGCTATTTCTAGTGTGGTTTCGTAATTAAAAAACAAAGAACTAAATCACTTTGAAAATATTTTTTTTAAATTGTTACAATAACAAATATTGGCATATACCTCTTTATACCAAAAAAGATTAATGAAGGTTTTTTCCTCTCATATGTTGATTCTAGAAACTCATATGCACAAAGTAGCAGAAAATAATGGGCCCTTACACCTAATGGATGGGAAAAATTCTACCCTGGAAAGAAAAGCGCTTCTGGAAGCACAAAATATGTATAAAAGATGCCTTTTTTTTTCCTTCATAAAAATACCTATTCAAGTGCAAATATTTCAGTAGGATTACAACTGATGATGATACTGCATCATCTCTTATAAATCATGCTAGTGCTCCTGTTGTGACAAGCCTACTTAGAATTGCCGTTGTTCTCTAATGTGCACTGTCTTTACTTAAAACACAAATTAAATAAGAATAAATTTTGCCTTTCCATGTAGAACATTGTTAAATAAAATGAAAGTTAGCATCTAAATTATTTTACACTTAACTAAAGATTTTTCCTTTGAGTGAACAATGTTTTTTCAGGAAGTGAACATTCTGGGAAGAATGTCTCCCACACAACCAGTAGGGATTTAATTTTTATATTCCTCCCTTTGTTACCTTTTAAACCAAGATTAAAAGTCTTGACAGGATTAGCAAAAGAAGCTGAGAATTGGCATCTCTTCTCATGATACCTTATGGCTACATCTCCCAAAGGTTCTGGACTCGGTCTACCAACACCTTTTAGAAAATGACTGTACCACTTAGATAGGAACTATGCCTTTTAGCAAACATAGCTCGAAATATGAGTTTCTTAGAATCACAGAATAATCAAGATTTGAAGGGACTTCCAGCGTTCAGCCTTTCCAAACCTCTGCTCAAAGTAGGTGTAGTTAGATCACGTTGCTAAAGGTGTCATTCAGTCAAATCTTGAACAAGTCTAAGGATGGACAGTCTATAACATCTTTGGGCAACCGGCATGTTATTTGTTCACTTCCATAGTAAAAAAATGTTTTCCTGCTATCTAATTGGAATTTCTTATGTTTCAACTTGTGTCCATTGCCATGTGGGCAGAGGGTGCTGGTGTCTGGCAGATGGGGAGGATGGAGGGTGGGGAAGTGTCACCCTGGAGCACCAGGTGGCAGTGCATGGCAGCTTCCGACATCTCTGAGAGGACTGCTGGTACCATTGGTAGCCTTCACAGGCTGAACACCCAAGGGGTGCTCAGACAGGCTTGTTATCTCGCAAGAAGGAAATGTCTGGGGCGAGATAGAGGTGTATTGCCCCAGAGCAGGTTGTGCTGGGCCTCCCTTTGCCGAGAGGATGCTGTTGGTGTTGGCAGCCTTCACCAGCTAAGTGACTCTCCACCTTGCTGAGGGGGATGTTTGAGTGGGCTTGTAGTCTAGTGAGAGTGGACCTATAAGGGTGGGAAGTGCCACCCAGGAGCATGGGATGCTGTGGCTTCTTTTTGCTGTGAAGGCTGATCTAGTGACAGAAATGTGCAGCAGTGATGGAGCTCATGACCTAAATGTCACACTCTTTGTGGGGTGTTTGAGTGGGCTTATAGTGTTATGAGAGCAGCGGTGCTGGGGGAGGAGGGCATTGCAGTCAATCAGGAGCAACAGGCACCTGTACTGCTGCCATTTTGCTGTCTGGGCAGTGGGAACGTCCACCAATGTTTGTCAGCTCCACGAAGGACACTGAGGAGGTGTTCCAGTGGGTACGGAGCCCCATGAGGAGGCACCTGCTGGGGAAGGAAGGAGCAAAGCATAGCTCAAGATCAGCAGATGGCTGTGTTGGGCTCTCCCTTTTTAGAAACATAGAAACATAGAATCGTTAGGGCTGGAAGG